CGGGTCAGCTGGCCTGTGTGAGGGCCCGGGGAGAACCCGTCTGCAGCCTTTCTGGGTGGCTAGTTTGAACGGCAGGCCTTAAAGTTACTGCGGGCGCTGTGCTCGAGACGCCCCGTGCAGCTCAGGCTGGGGAGAGGGGGTCCCGGGCCGTGCGGGAGGCCCCCTCCGCGGGCTTCTGCGGGCTCCATTGGCTTATGAGTCCTGTTCGGTGTTTAACCTGTTTTCTGCCATTACAGAGCCAACAAAAAGCCTGCAGTGCCACCAGGTCCAGATGGGCCACCTCTGGGGTAGAACTTGGAGAGCGCTCCGGGGCCATCGTACCTCCAGGCGCTGTAAGAGGTGCCTGCTCGACCTGGGCACAGGCCATGCTGTCCGCCTCCCAGCTCCCTGAGACCGAGACGTCTCTCTGCTTCCCATGCCGGAGCGGCTTTCCTGTCCCTCGCCCTGTTCTGGGAGGGCCGGCTTGTCCTCTCGTCATGGTCAGGTGGCCCCACTGACTACGCTCCCCCACTTGCCACTTTCAGGGTCTTAGCTGACTCAGTTCGGGGGTATTTGTTCTAGTCCTTGGTCGTTGCTGTGAAGTGTGAACACACATGTACACACTACGTTTGTGCAGATGGGTCTCATTCTAGCCTGGACTCACACTGCCCCCGCGTTAGCTCTCACTTGGGGTTTTTACTGTCTCCCGCTCCACATTCTTGACGTTTGCTGGGTGCTCTCTCCAGGATGGCCACTCCCTGGGGTGCCTGGCTTCTCCAGAACCTGCGCTCTGGCGAGGGCTGTCCTGACCCCTGGTGTTCGTGCTGGGGTTCCGGTTGGCGGGCGCGGCGCGGCGTGGCTCGCAGCTGTGTTTGGACACACTGCCCGTGCCGGCCCCGACTGTGCGGAGCGCTGATTCCTGGGTGTGCAGGGAGGAGGAGACAATTCCCAGCAGCAGACAGGCCGTGGGACGGACCCTCGTCTCTCAAGGTCGCCGATCCGTGGAGTTGAGCGACTGCTCCTGAGGTGCTGTGGCCCTTGCTGAGCGCCAGTGTGTGGTTGTCTGTGTCCTCACGAGGGGCTTGGGAGGAGCCCAGGGACAGCTGTGCGGGGCTGACCCCTTCAGAGGCGCAGCAGAGGCAGGGTGGCTCCTGATTCGAACCGCTTACAACAGGGGCTCCTGGGGACAGCAAAGCACACTCTCCCGTCTCGGTTCCTTGTGTTGTTTTTTTGAGACAGGGTCTTACTGGCAGTTCCGGCTGGCCTTGAATTCACTAGATAAGCCAGGGTGGCCTTGAATTCATGGGGATCCTCTTGCCTCAGCTTCCCGAGTGCTGGGACGATAGGGGTGTGTGCCTGTCCTGGTTCCTGGGGACACCTGCTTACCCTCACACTTGGTGAGGAATTTGCTCCTTGGGCTCGAGCTGGGCAGAGGGGTGCGTGTGGCAGGGGCCCTCCTGCCCTTTCTAGGGCGTTGAGGACATCTACCAAGCTTTGTGGGAGGTACTTTCCTTACAGTTTTCTCAGGTGGAATTTCCGGTCGCGAAGTTACATGGCGATGTACTTAGCTCACTTCGCGGTGCTGAGTGTGGTCGTCCTCTGAAGCCAGAGAAAATACAGCTGTTCCCTTTCCCGGAGAGTGCGGCCTTCGTGGCCATCAGAGTCGGAGTCAAGCACACCTCCCCTCCCCACGTGCCGCCCAGCGTCGGAGTGGCATCCGCGCCCTGGTGCACCAGCGGGGGAGGGCGGGTGACGGGGTGTGTGCTCCTCCTGGTCCCAGGCTGTGAGCAGGCTCTGGTGTCAGCCAAAAGACCCTTTCCCCTGCGATCGAGGCGGAGCAGTGGAAGGGCCGACGTTAGGGGTTCAGGCTGAGTCCGTGGTCAGGCTGTGCTGTTAGTTTTAGCTTGGTGACCCTCAGAGGTACTATGTCACCCAGGGTGAGCACCTGGGCGCAGTGGCTTCGTGTCTTCACTCATCTGCAGTCGGGAGAGGCTGAGAGGACCAGCTGGTGCCACATGGTCTCACAGGCGGAAGGACAGCCTGCACGCGCTTGATGGTGTTAGTGCTGCTTCCAGTGGTGTCTGTTTTTCTGGGGTCACGGTGTGGGTCACGCAGGACAGGGTTCCGTTGGGAGCGGTGATTTCATGGGGACCTCGCTGCTTTGTGTCTTTCAGAATGTCGTTCTTTCAGGAGGCTCCACGATGTTCCGGGATTTCGGGCGCCGGCTGCAGAGGGATTTAAAGAGGGTGGTGGATGCCAGATTAAAACTCAGTGAAGAGCTCAGCGGCGGCAGGATCAAGGTAGGAGACCCGAGCTTCTGCCACGGGCGACCGGCTCGCCCTTGGGCCAGGGGAGGGAGCCAGTCAGGGCAGAAGGTGGTAGGGACAAGCCCGACCTCTCCTTGGCCACCTGGGCCCCCTCTAAGCCTGCAGTGAGCGGGGCCCTCTGTGCCACGGCGGCCCGTGGGTTGTACACAGCAGGTGTGGTGTCAGGAGCAGGCTCCCGGGTGCGGGGTGATCCACGGGAGCTCAGGAATGTCCTTTGCAGACGTCCCCATTAAACTGAGAGCTGGGGCTGGCAGTCGCAGGGTGCCCCTCCAGCACAGCACCTCCTAACTTAGTGGGGGGTCTGATGGGGCTTCTCACCAAGACGGCTTTGGCCGGGCCGGGGGGAGCACGGAAGAAATCCATAGACCTGGGCCCACGGTCGGGACAGTGCAGCTTCTGTCAGTGTTTTGGGGCCGGCTTGTAGCAGTTGGAATTACCTCTGAAGTGCTAAGCCATCTGACTTGGTTGGAAATTCATTAGGTTAGCTGCTGGCCCACTCCCTTCGTGCGCTTCAGTGCCCTCGGGAGAACCTCTGCCGGCACCGGGGCGTCCCCACACCACTGCGTTGGGACTGCTGTTCGCGGCCAGTGTGTCCTGGCAGGGGATGTGCGCGTGAGGGCAGGACCTTGTGCCCTGAAAGTGCACGGAGGGCGGGGGGAGCCAGGCCTGCTCCCCTGCGGGCTGTGGAGTGAATGCGCTTCCCTCTGTCTGTAGCCCAAGCCCGTGGAGGTGCAGGTGATCACGCATCACATGCAGCGCTACGCCGTGTGGTTCGGGGGCTCCATGCTGGCCTCAACCGTAAGTCCCTTCCCCGACACGAGCTGCCTTGCTGCCTTCTCTGTGAGTTGGGATGAATGGCGCTGTGACTCTAGGCTTTCCACACGCTCGATTTTGTCACTTGTCGAGAAATAGTTCATGACCGTTCACAGTTAGCTGGTTACGCGTACCCTTGCTAGTCCAAAGATAATCTTTAAAAAGTCTTGCAGTAATCCCAATTTTGTGTTAATCCCAATTTCTAGGAAATTATCATTTCCCCCTCATATATATTAAAGTTCATCCATTGTTAACTTAGAGCCCACACATATTTGTTTCATTTTTTTAATTTAAAAATTTTATTTTTTGTCTTTTTGAGACAGGGTCTCGCTATGCAGTTCAGGCTGGTCTTGAGCTCACTTTGTAGCCCGGGCTGGTCTTGAACTTGCTACGACCCTCCTGCCTCAGCCTCCCAAGTGCTGGGATGACAGGGGTGCGCCCCCACGCCCGGCCTGGCTTAACGGTTGTTGGCACTTGCAGAGTGTGATGGTGCATCGATGGGCAGGGGTTGGTGCCTGTGCGCAGGGCCTCTTACTTCCTCAGCTCCCCCACCTCTTCTTCCCGTCCCGTTTGCAGACGTGCCATCTGCCGGTTTCCTATTATCCTTAATTTTTGCTCTTTCATTCGTTTATGCTTTGGATCTCACGTATGAAAGAAACCATGTGCTGTTGTGGCTGTGTGTCTGATTTATTCCACTTAGCGTTGTGGTGTCAAGGTGCGTGCATTTTCCTGCAGTGACTCTCACTTACTCTCTGCAGCGGAGCAGCCCTCCGTTGTGTGTAACCGCCGGGATCTTCATCCATTCGCGTGCTGGCGGACTCAGGCTGCTTCCAAGAGTTAGCAGTGCCGAGTGGTGCTGCTGTAAACGCGGGTGTTTGTGGGTCGCTGTAATGCGACGTTTTCACCTCTTCCAGGGAGATGCCTAGAGGGCCAGCACGCACTTGGTCCTAAGTAAACGGGGGCTGAGTCAGGAGTGTCGTGGGTGTGGGGGCGCGCCCGGTGCTGAGGGTCCGTGAGTGAACCGTGCTGTCTCTGCAGAGCCGCGGGTTGGGCCCAGGGTCTCGGGCAGAGCGAGCTCGCGGCCACGGAGCTCCCCGGGGGGCCTGCTCGGGCTGCCCCTGAAGCCCGACATGCGCTCTCCTGTAGTCGCTCAGCACACAGGCGGGGGAGGGCGTCGCCCCGCAGAGGCGGCCTAGGGGAGGGCGCAGGTTGGGGACAGGAGTTTATTTACGCTTCCTGAGACGCTCACGCTGTGCTCCCTGCTGTCGCCCGCAGCCGGAGTTCTTCCAGGTCTGCCACACGAAGAAGGACTACGAGGAGTACGGCCCCAGCATCTGCCGCCACAACCCCGTCTTCGGAGTCATGTCTTAGTGTCTGCCACGGAGCTGTCCCTCGGGCGCGCCTCGCTGGGAGCCGGAGTCCCGCGGAGCCCGAGCGCCGCGGTCCCGTGTGCGGGCGGTGCTGTGGCGGCGCCGCGTGCATGAGGCTGCGCAGCCCGCCCGGCCAGAGCGTCTGCTCACGCGCCCATCGCGCCCACCTCCGCCTCTGCTCTGAGCTTCCCGCCTCGGCGCAGTTCTGAAGGAGTTCAGCATGGCTTTACGTAACGATAGAGAAGGGCGCAGAATCGCCCCCCAGGAAGAGTGTGGGGGTGTGAACCCCGTCCTCCCGGCTTATTTTTGTAAATAAAATGTTACAAACTTGAAATACAAATGGATGTTTATATTTCCTATCATTTTGTATTTTATGGTCTTTGGTACAACTGACCGATACTAAGCACGAGTACGTGTTGCTGTCATGGAGTGCCGTAATAAAAGTGCTACAACCGTGAGGCATGTTACGATGTGTTCGTAGGCAAACAATAGCAGAGCAAACTGTTTCGCCCCCTGTTTGCTGGAAAACGATTATACTTTGTCAGGGCGACCTGAAGTCCGAACACTGGACAGGCTCGAGTGGGCACCGCCGCGGGCCGGTGTCCCGGGCTCCGCGTGTGCTTTGGGAAAGCGTTTTGTGGAAGATGATGGCGATGTTGCCGAGTGTTGGATGAGATACTACCTTGCACTGTTGTAATAAAAACTGTTTGAATCTTCATAAATGCTTCGCCTGGTGTAGTGTGCTGGTCTCCCCCCGCCCCATACTTGTAAAAAATGCTGTCGCGGCTGGTGTGGGGCAGCAGCATGTCTGCGGGAGGGATGCCTGGAGCACGGGGGCTGCTGTGCAGTGACCACCTGCCCTGGGGGTGTGGGGCCGCCCACGTGCGTCCTGGCCCGGCCTTGTGGTGTGCCTGGGACCTCCCGTCTCCGCAGGCCTGCGGCTCGCGGAAACCCTGTGCACACATGCTGGGTAACCTGCAGACGCGTCGAGTCGTGGCTGAATCGACAGATTCAGGGTTGTTCGTTCCACTCTTCATATCATCCTGGTTTTCAGCCTGTTACGTGTGGTCCTCCTGGTGAGATAGGTTTTATCCTGAGGTTTGCCCTCGTCACCATTTGGTTTCAGTGTTTACGTTTGGAAGCAGGTTTAGGCACTGGACTTAGCCATCCTCTTACCCACGGCTTCTGCTCACTGCCAGCAGCTGAAGGCTGAACGCGCGAGATGGAAACTCCTAGGAATGAACAGCCCGCGGCCCCTTCCCTTTGATCGCTCCGTGTCGCCACGGCGCCTCTGCTTATGCCTCTTCTCAGTGGGGTGTACCGAGCCGGATTCATGAAGCGCCCTGTGGGCACTGACCGGCTCTGGCCCCTGTAACAGTCCTCGACGCAGGCTGCTTAGGAAGAAGGGGTTCGCTCAGCTCGAAGCTTTGGAGGTTCCAGGCGCCCCGCTTGCGGCGCGCATGCCTGGAGGGACGCTGTGGCCCTCACATCACAGTGGGGCCTGGGCAGAGCAGGGGGCCTCAGCAGCCCCGGAGCCAGAGCCCCGCCTGTCAGCAGTGCCGCCCAGCACCCACACCCGGTGCCCAGACCCAGCCTCCAGCTCGTGCGAGGGCAGCCACGAGAGCCACCGCGGCGGGGAGGAAAGTGGGGCTGGCTGTGGGGTTGAGCCAGCTTTCCCGGAAGAGTTCAGGGTTTCACTTTGTAGCCCAGGCTGGCCTTCAGCTTGCAAGCGACCCTCCTGCCTCAGCCTCCTGAGCGCTGGGATTACAGGCATGCACCACCAGTCCTGGCTTCCTCAGGCGTTTTAGTGGCTTCATGAAAACTTCTTAAATTTTGAGTCCAAGGAGCTGAAGAGCAGACGGTGAGCCGTGTGGTGCCGCAGTGCATCTCCGGGCTGCCTTCCCTTTGCTCTGGTCTGGCCCTGGGTGGTCACAGGCCTGCAGAAGCAGCCTGCAGAACGCCTGCGGAGGGAAGAGTGTTTTGTGGTACGGATCCTCCAGCCGTCCTGTGGGTGACGAGCCCTCGCGTGACTGAATGAGATTGTTCTGTGATGAATTCATTCTTTATGACCTTTCCATTCTGCCTCATTTGTAAAAATTACGATGGCGCCAAAGAAGCTTGCGAGGTTACTCAAGTGCCCAGCTTGCTTAAAACTGCGAGAGGCCCATTAAGAATATTTATCTGTGAGATAACTCTTTACTTAATTAAAGAATGTTTCAGAATAATTCTTTCAAAAGTAACTGTCAGGCCTGTTAAATAGCAATCTAAATTGATGGGCAAAATAATCACATGGGGCTCTAATTGGCAGTTACATCAATTTCACTTGGTCAGATGGAAATAAATCTTTAAAAGGAGAAGAAGCTATAGCTTGGTTTTGACATTGTTATCAAGGGTTGTTAAAATACTGGGGTTTTTTAGCCCTGTATTTCTCACATGAGCATTTGTTTATTGTCTAGGTTGAGCTGTCAGGTTTTATTTTTTTGTGTTAGGTGGGAAGCCCTGCATTGTTCTGTGTGTGTGGTGTGTGTCTGTCATTGTGTGTATAGCACGTAGTTACTCAGGTAATAGTGTATTGCTACTAAGAGTAACGTTTTGTAATTGATGAGAGGGTTACAGCTTTAAATTACAGAAAATAATTACAAACCTAAGGGTTTATGATATCGGATAAAATTTTAATGATACAGCATTGGCAGGATTTCCAGTATTTAGGGGTCAGACCAGATGTAATTGTTCAGAGCTCCATTTAATTCATTCTTGGCTGTGTTAGCACTTAACGGAGTGAGTTCTGCATCATTCCCATCAGACCCAGGAGCCCGGGCAGACTTCCTGCTCCCTCTGCTATGGGTGGTGGGTGCAGCATTGGTGAGGGACAGGCCTGTGCCCACACTGTGTGGCCACCGACGTGCGCTTGGAGCTTGCTTCCGTCCGTACTCCTCCTTCCGGAGGAGCCGAGCGGCAGATCGCAGCCCTGGGGTCCCGTCCAGGGACTGGCTCCGGGAGCTGGCGGAAGCCGAGAGGCAGGAAACGAGCGGGGTGCCGTGCAGGGCCCTGCTGTCCCCTGTGGGTTCTCACAGGGGTTGGCCCTGGTGGTCTCCGGTTCTCGTTTTTGCTTTCCCTCTGCAGGGGAAGGAACCTGGGCCTTGGGCACGCCAGCCAGGGGCTCTGCCCCGGGGTTTACCTGGCCTCTCCCGTTCAAAGTCAGGAGCGTCTTCCGGCTGCGGGAGGCTTGTTCGGGCCCAGGCTGGACGCCTGGAGCGAGGAGCTGGGCAGGGCGGGTGCCTGCATGGCATGTGTGGTCTGGCAGGAGAGGCGGCCGGAGGCCATGGGGTCGCGCCACAGACCCGTGCCCCAGGAGGGGCTGCCCAGCTCCCCGGCAGGCTGAGGTGGGGGCAGGCAGGTCTGGGAGACAGAACGGACACGTCAGGTTGAAGTGGCTCTTTCTGCAGGCCAAACCCGCGCACCCTGGAGTCCTGTCAGGTGGTTCACTAGCACAGGTACCCGGACAGAAGGAAGCCGGGATTTTTTATTTTTTTATTTTTTTTTTAGACTGCCGCACTGTGCAGCCCCGACTGGCCTTGAACTCATGGTGATCCTTGTGCCTCAGCCTCCCGAGTGCTGGGATTACGGACGTGCACCACCACCCTGGCCTTGAGCTTCTTTAAGATGGGAAGGGAATGAGTATCCAGGGTGTTTTGAAAGAGGTGGTGTGTTGGTTTGGGGCTTATTTTTGCAAGGGGAACAATATAATACAGGACACATTTTATAAGATCATGTATAATAGTCACCCAAAGAGCAGTACACAAAAGAGTGCAGGAAATCTGTCCACACACTAAGGCCAAGGAAACCAGCTGAGGGCCTGGATCCCCCAGAAATGTCCTGCGTGAGTCCAGCTGGAGGCCTAGAGCCCATAACAATACCTCATGCAGGCCCGTTTCACGGATCTGCGCTGCGAAGGCCCAAAGGTCAGTGGTGGAATCTACAAAGTCTGTG